TTTTTCTTCGCGTTGCCTTCATATGTGGTGCTTTCTTGCTCTAGTTTTTGCGAAACAATAACTTCATAACCATATATCAAAAGAAAATGAATTAATCAAAAGAGAATAAATTTAGATTTATTGGCTACAGAGGCAAAGTTATGATCTACTTTTTGAAGACATAAAGTAGAACTAGAAAAAGCACATTCATTTGTTAATGGTTGAAGTACGTCTTTGAATGGCAAAATGATGTAGCAAAAAGCTCTTTGATAGTTGGCATGTATTATTCTAAGTTTCTGCATAAAGTTTGTCCTTCAAATATTTGTTCTAATTGAATGTCCTATAAATTACCAGTCTCTATAATAGATGTCCATTTAAAATGTTTTTTCTAATTAGATGGGTAAATGTCAGATAATATTTATGATTAGGAACTATTAATCTTGGTCTAGAATAATACGAGGGGTTTGCAAGAACAGTCGCGCAAAAAAAATTTGTTGTTTAATTCACGGAGGCAGGAATTATGGTAACTGACCCAGATTCTTACTTTTCTTGCCCTCCCTTAGAATCATAAAGAATTCATATGACTGCTCATATGAGCTATTCTCTTTGAAGGATTTTTCATGGATTATGAAGTCATCGAATCACCGAATTGAGATAGTATATAAACTTACCCTATTCTAGTCTTTCTGCTTCTGATGTAGTCTTATAAGTATGTCTTCTAGATGTAGACTATGTACCATAGGCCACTACATCTTTTCTTTCCCTTCACTATTTTCTGAATTGTTAAATAAAGTTTGTTGCCATCACTAGCCTAAAAAATAAAGCATAAATTTCACTGTTCTTCTTGGAGTGGGAGATTTGAATTGCAATCTTAATTTCACCACAACAGAATCTTTAAACGTCACTAATGCAAGCTAAAAATAATTAAAAATGAATGATACTCCGTGCCTGCGATTAAAAGAGAAGAACCTGCACATCATATCTGAATTGCAAAGCATACAGTGTGAAGAACAGTTCAGATTTCAAGTAGAATTTTTTAACTGAGATTTGTGTAATTTCCTCCCAGAAATTCACATAGTTGATTTAACTTTATGCATACCAGGATGGTTGTTGGTCAACCCTTGGAGGAAGCTGCACTGTGGTGCAGGATTTGACTGATTTTTGCTTCCACTCATACTTCTCCTTTATGGATGAGCTAATTGAGATAATGCCTTTGGAAGAAAAGCCTACAGAAATAAAGTAAGAGATCCTCTATCGACATTCTATACATACTGAACGCAGATATTAAATGAATTGTTTAGATATATTTCATTGTGTCACTGCTAGGTTGTCAAAATTGCCAAGTTGCTTTTTGGTGAGCCTGATTGGTGTCCCAGTAGATGTTCTTTTGATTACTGCTGTTGCTCTGTGGAAAAGCCCATACATGTTGTTCAGAGGATGGAAGAGGCTTTTAGAAGACTTGATTGGCAGAGAAGGACCATTTTTGGAGACAGTCTGTGTTCCCTTTGCTGGTCTTGCCATCCTTCTGTGGCCTATGGCTGTTGTGGGAGCTGTAATAGGTGCTATCTTTTCCAGCGTTTTTATAGGGCTTTATGGTGGAGTTATTGTTCACCAGGTCTGCCATTACTGCTTTCTGTTTGCCTGTGCTGTTGTGTAAACTAGAGAATATTGTCAAGTATTCCATCTATTGCAGTTTCTCTTTGTTTGAAATTTTTATCTGACTTTTTTTTTTTTTTTGCAAATCCACAGGAAGACTCTTTTTTGATGGGCCTTGCGTATATTATTTCTGTGGTTTCACTATTTGATGAATATGTAAATGATTTACTCTACTTAAGGGAAGGAAGCTGTCTGCCCAGGTACGTTATGGGAGTTAATAATGTTTCCACTGCATAAAATGGATATTACATGCATGTTAAACTGCAAATGTGGTTTATAGAGTAATATTGGGCTTTTAAATTTATGAAAGTTCATTGTTTGTCAGCAAATAGGAAATTTTCCTTTTGCACATGCTTATTGAATATGATTCCAAAACATGCTTGTGACAGCCAGGCCTAGATATAGAAGAAATCGGAGCCCTGACCTTGAGAGAAAAAACTCCAGGGACAACGAGAACTATAGTTGGAAGAATAGAAGGGAAGGCTCATTTAATTCGAAGCTTTTCTCAGATCCATCAAGAACATGGAAGTGGAAAGTCAATCAATATAAACCAATGCAGGTAGTCTCTTCAATTTCCATCCTTAAAGTTTGTGTGTGATTTGTACCAAAGTTTTGTAAGTATTAATTTGACAGGTTTGGGAGTGGCTATTTAAATCTTGTGAGGTGAATGGTAGGATAATGCTTCGTGATGGCCTGATAAATGTAAAGGATATTGAGGAATACCTTTTGAAGGGTCATTCTAAGATACTGAGCATCAAACTACCCACTTGGACCATATTACAGTGTCTCCTATCATCAGCAAAGTCCAACTCCTCTGGCTTTATTATCTGTACGTCAATTCATAAAGTTTTAGTCCAATTTATTATCTGTACTAGTCCAAATCATGATTTTGGAGTTGAATTTTCAGATGATGACGTGGAATTAACAAGTATCGATGGGCCAAGGGATAAAGTTTTAGAGTGGTTTATTGGCCCTCTACTGATCATAAAAGAGCAAATAAAGAAACTCCAAGTAACAGAAAGTGAAGAACTCTGTCTCAGAAAACTGGTTTTCAGCTGCAAAAATGACAGGCCTGAAGATTGGGATGAAGTGGGATTTCCATCAAGTGATCCTCTGAGAAGAGCGCAGCTGCAAGCCATAATAAGAAGGTACTTTTATATCTATATTGAAATATATGTACGAGTTAAGTATTGTAATTAAAGCAGCTTATTCTTGTATTACTTCTGATGCATGTGCGGTACCACAACATAACTCCTAACTTTTGTCTATCATATTAACTTGCACCAGTACATCATTAAGTACAAAAGAAACTTGGAAAACCTTTGCACCATGGACAAACTATCAACTATTGTTATTCTTTTAGAGATTGATAATGATTTTTTTTCCTTGCTCCCTTGGCACAGACTTCAGGGAATTGTAGCATCCATGTCCAGGATACCTACCTTTCCTCGTCACTTGAGGAACCTAGTGAAGGTGTTGTACATAGAGGCAATTCAAGCAAGTGCTTCTGGTAACCGTTTTGGTGGAAAATTTAAATCGCCTTTTAGTGGCTTGAGTTTGTCTAGAAGTGGGGATCAAAGGAAGTATATAGATGGAACATTTAAGGATTCAGAGGATAAGGGAAATGAAAATACTGTAGATATAGTATGAACTTGGTCTTGGTGAAGTTATTTGTTCCAGGATGCAGTCTATGATTTCAGTACAGGCAGGAGGGAGGAGGGTGAGATCTATATTATGTTCTTGGAAAATGATTGACCACGGATATTACATCAGAGGGAGAGCATCAACCTTTCATTTTGCCACTTGCCATATTGGGGAGAAGATTGTCCGTGAAGGTCCAACTAGTTATTAGCTGAAGTCCAAAGTGCTGCTTGAAAATGTGAAAATAGATGTAAAAGCTTGCCTGGGTTGATAGGTAATCCAGATTTGTGTATGCTATGGGATATTCCACCTTTCCTCCTAATAAGTACTCCAATGGTTTTGTGCGGATGAGCATCCTGAATTCCGACCGCATAAAAGCTTCTAATAATTTTATGGTTGCGGCAGATGTAACCTATGCATTTTCTTTACATATAGAAGATTTAACAAAGAAAAGACTAGATCAAGTATTGATCTATTAAGGAATTTAAAGATTTTTTTTATTCAACTAATGTAAAATATACTATAAATTTGTTTTAATTAAACGTGCAAGTTAGTCTTGGTAATAAATAGTGCAGTGTTTGTAGAGAAGGATCACCATTATTATAATAACTGTCATGAAACTGCCTAATCAGACATACCCATAACATCATTATTTTATCTGTCCTTTAAAAGTAAAGCATAAAGTTTTTTTGTCTCTTATGTAACTTTTTTTTTTTTTTTTAACTTTGAATTTTTGGTGTGGGTAATATGTTTTTAAGCAAAATCGAAATTAGCTTCAGAGTATAAAATTGATGAAAAGATTGTATATAACCATTATGGTAAGAACATATTTTTCTTATTATTTTTGAATTGTTTAGGACAGAGACCGTTGCAATACCCTTAAAAAGAGCTGCTAGAAAGCTTGATTATTGAAAAATAGTAATGATAATAGGCAATGTAGAAAATGTTTTGACTTGGACAACAGCCAACGAAGAAGATGATAATTTTGGCAGTCAAAATAGATTAAAGAAGAAAAAACAAGTTGTCACGGAAGAGAAATGGGTAGGTAGTCAGTCTATCCGATTCTTGTAATACATAAAACATATATGTAATGTACATACATTATCTATAAATACCCACACGTTTTTTAAGCCACCCCTTCCTTGTTTTCAGCACCCTTAGCTTAGATTTCGGCCTCTTGAATTTGAGGTTTTTCCTCCTCTCTCAACCAATCCACTTTCATGTCTCTAATCCCTCAATATTCTCCTTTTCCATCGCGAACAAGCAAACACCCAATTCCCCACTGAATAACTTTCTTTTCCCATTCAACTCCCCTTCACCATTTTCTCTCAGGTTCCTATCCTTTCCTTCCATCATGCTCTCTTCCCATTAACAGGTACAAAATATTAACATGTGGATCGTCTCTTCTAAATATTTTAAAAATTTTACCTGTTGATGGCAGAATAATTCAATGTTCATAAACAAACTACAATCCCATCGTAACATTTTCCATCCTCTTTCCTCTCAAATCACATTATAGCTTTTGCCTTGCGCTTGTGTCTGTGATATTCGAGGCTATATATATATATATTGGTTGAAAGGATCAGGGACGTGAGAAAAATGGCTTTCCGGAGTCAATCTCTGGCGAATCCCGTCACGCAGCCTTTTGCCGAGAAGATAACCGATGATCCCATCACACATAAAACCGCTCACAGCACCGTCACATGCGTATACCAGACGCACATTGCAGGATTTTGGCGAAAGGTGACGGTACTCTGGTCCAGGAATCTCATGAACCATTCTTTAACCATTATGGTCACCAACCTGGAAGGCGATTTTCTTTACACCTGCAAGATTGATCTTAAGCCGTGGCACTTCTGGAGCAAAAAAGGGTACAAGTCATTTGACGTTGAAGGAAACCATGTGGACGTCTACTGGGATCTCCGCTCTGCAAAATTCAGCGGCGGCCCTGAACCCTGCGCGGATTTCTACGTCGCCATAGTTTCCGACGAGGAGGTCGTCTTGTTGTTGGGGGACTACAAGAAGAAAGCATACAAAAGGACGAAATCCAGACCGGCTTTGGTCGAGGCAACTCTGTTTTACAAGAAAGAAAACGTATTTGCCAAGAAAAGTTTCTCGACGAGAGCCAAGTTCGACGACAGGAAAAAGGAGCACGACATTGTTGTGGAAAGCTCGACGACTGGGCCGAAAGATCCAGAAATGTGGGTTAGCATAGATGGGATTGTGATGATTCATGTGAGAAATTTGCAGTGGAAATTCAGGGGGAACCAAACTGTGGTGGTGGATAAGCAGCCGGTTCAGGTGTTTTGGGATGTCCACGATTGGCTGTTCAATAGCCCTGGTACCGGACATGGATTGTTTATCTTCAAACCAGGGTTAGCAGAAGAAAGTGACGCCGAAGGAAGCGTGAATGGAGATAGCGATACCAGTACTGGATCCAGGTATTACTCCACCAGAAGTTGCACTACTGCAGCTGAATTCTGCCTTTATCTCTATGCTTGGAAGCTGGAGTGACATAAACATATATTTGTATATGTATATATGTATGGATATACATATGTACATTTGTTTCCCTGTAAGTGCACTTGTTTGGAGATTGGTATAGATGGTAGAAACTGACTTGCAGGGTTGCTAACGATCATGATCATGTATGGCTTCAATTACGCCAAAATTGTGGAGTTAGTGGTGTTGTTGGGTGTAAATTTTCTTTTTTTTTTTTTTTTTTCTATTTCTATTTCTCTCAGATAATCACATTACTTTGTACTCAAAAAAGGGGGGGAAAAAAAAAAGAACAAAAAAAGTTATGCTGCAAGCTCTGCAGACTGCCATTATAGTTGATGATGCTATTTTCTCCTAGTTGTGTACATATACAAATTGCCTTTTATGTGCTTATATTATCTCCTCTCTCTTTTTATAGTCACCATTTCTTGACTTTCTTTAAAAAAAAAAATTAAATTAAATTAAATATCCATAAATTTAAATAACACGATTAAAATGCTTTAATGAAAAATCAACATGATTAAAGTCTTCAATGAGGATATGCATCATTTAGATTCAGACCCACAACCGAAATATTTAAAAAGTAATGGGTTCTTAAATTTCTTTATTCAATTTTTATTTTTCTTTCGGTTAATCTCTATCTTTAATTAATAGAGAAGTTAATTTAATCTTATTAGTAATTAATTAGTAACAAAATTAAATCTTTCACAGTCCAGTCAAAATGGTATTTGGGTAAAATTATGGATTTGAAGGATTAGAATGTTTTGTGGTCAATAAAAATGTACAAGAAGAAAATCACGGACTGCCTGCAACCCAATCCAACACATAAATAGGCGTGTTTGATATTTGATTTTTTGACAGGAGATTTCAAGTTCAAATTTGTTGTCGTTCCCGTACATCGTCGCCATTAATGAAGAAACAAAAACCAGTAAACAAATAAACCCTCCCAGTCATGAAATGATTTTCAGTAATATACTTTCCCTGTCAGCTAAACACATATATATATATATATATATATATCAATCAACTAAAAGTTTCTGCTTTACAAAAATAAAATTAAAAGATCTGTTCGAATTAAACGATACTCATAATCCAAATCGTTCAATTCCATATTTCTCCTACCAGTGATTCTCCAGACGAAATCAAAGCAAGGAATTCAGATCAAGTCGAGGCTTCTTCGCATCCCCAGGAAAAGGAACGATCGAGTTGCAACGAGGGCACTTAGGGTTTTCCTTGAAAGTCACCACGTAGAGCAAGCAACCAGGACACCCGGCGGCGAACATTGCCGTCGACGACGAAGACGATTGCACCGGAGGAGATGATGGTCGTTTTCTGGTGAGGGGTTGTTCCTTCTCTGCTGCTCTCTGGAGAGCAAATCTAACTTTGTCGATGGTGCAAACGCTCTGACAGTAGGTTGAGGATTGAAGCTTCAAGTCCAAGCAAGGCCGCGGCGATTGCGAGTAGTAAGAGTTCAAGTCTTGAAGCTCAGATGAATCTGAGATTTTCTTTTCAGAATTTTTCTTCCTTGTGTCATCTGTTGATATCAGTGGAGACGAAGATGGCGATAGTGGTGAGTTGGGGGAGTCGCATCTCCGTCGGTCTGCGCTCCTCATCGACTGCATCAGAGAAATTAAAAGAAACACCAGACTCCATTGTTAGCACAGTTGTAGAAACGAACATAAAAAAAAAA